ATGGGAGGTATGCATTTAAAAGACAAGGATTGTAATAATAATTATCTAAGAAATCTCCACTGTTCCTTTAGCTATAGCCTATCAATTTCAGGATGTCAACTAGAAAGAGACTTTTAAAATCTCCAGACTCTTTTGTATTACTAATAAAATTGGGGAGGTATCCTTCAAGATTGCTCACTCATTTTTCACTCATTTTAAAATAGATATAGGTCACTACTTGTAATATAGCCTACATTAAAAGACACAAGAAATAACAAAGCGAAAAAAACTTAATTATTGTAAAGCATTAAATCTGTCCTTTAAATGATTTATAATACATAAAATGTATATTTCTTGATAGACTACAGATGTGTTCCCCCCCCACTTTAGGCTTTTCATTTTTTATCATTGTAGCCTATTGTTTCCCACAATTTGAGTTAATGTAATGGATACTGCCTTTCTAAGTTTAAAATGATAATTGACTTTCTATGTTCATTGTTTAAGAGATTGCAATAAAACGTGCATCTACCTATACATGTGTTTGATCAGGAGAACGAAGATGGATCAGAATGAGAGTCCAAACAGCTGATAAGTGATATTTTGGATTACAGGAAGCATTATTATGTATTTTGGACTTGTATTTTTGCTAAAAATGTCTTGATGGATTTGTTTTTTACAAACACGCTGCTTTTGGCTTCACAAGACGTAGGACTGGAGTGGTGTGCATTACTCATGGTTTATTGTGTTTTTGTCAGTGTTTTTATAATTTTATCTGTTTGGACTCTCTTATTCTGACGGCACCCATTTGCCGCAGAGCATACATTGGTGAGCAAGTGATGGAATGAATCCTGGATATGAATCCTGGAAAATATGTCTGAACAAGACATGACTTGAGAAATACATTAGTGCATTATGAATCATACATGTCAGTCTTACAGAAAAGGCTGTTTGGAGTGGGTTGACATGCAATTTTATCATGTTTACTGTATATAATAGTCATGGTGACACATTTCAGTGTGTAAACAAACAGCTAGTACTGTTGGGGGTGAATTAAAGCCAGTTAAACAGACTGGGTACAGCTTGTTTATGTGCTTTTTACAGTATTTGATGGCTTGGAACAAAGGTTTGTGAAATTTAATGGAGGATTCAGCCAAGAGCAGCTGCTGTGGCTCGATGAAGTCTTAACTCTTGCTGACCAGAAACAGGAGAGAGTAACTGTCTTGAGTAAGTATACACACTTTTATATGCTTTTAAGATCTTTATGCTTGGTCTTTTCAGGTCTTTACGGTACTTGTCAAAAGTTTGCAAAACATTATTTAATGTTGTTATCTCTTCTGCTCACCAAGGCTACATTTATTTGATCAGCTAAACAGTTAAAATAGTGAAATATTATTGCAATTTTAAAATGTGTTTTCTATGTGAAAATATTGTAAAATGTAATTTATTCCTGTGATCAAAGCTGTATTTTCAGCATCATTACTCCAGTCTTCAGTGTCACATGATCTTCAGAAATCATTCTAATATGCTGATTTGCTGATCAAGAAACATTTCTGATTATTATCAATGTTGAAAACAGTTGTACTGCTTCATGTTTTTGTGGAAACCGTGATACATTTTTCATGATTTACATTTTTCAGAATTCTGTGATGAATAGAAAGTTCAAAAGAACAGCATTTATTTGAAATCGAAATCTTTTGTAACATTATAAATACCTTTACTGTCACTTTTGATCAATTTAACGTGTCCTTGGTGAATAAAAGCATCCATGTCTTTTAAGTGATAATTTATAATGAAACAAAAATCTGAAGCAGCAAATGAAAATTAAGCTTTGATCTCAGGAATAAATTACATTTTAGATTCACATAGAAAAGTTATTTTAAATTGCAATAGCATTTCATAATTTTTACTGTATCTTTGAGTAAATAAATGGAGCATTGGTGAGCAGAAGAGACTTAGTTAAGAACGTTTAAAAATCGAAATGTTTCCAAACTTTTGACAATCACTGTATATTGTGTATTTGTGCAGGTCATCTTCCCGTTCACCCGTACGCCACAGACCCCATCTGTCTGGCGTGGAACTACGACGCCATGCAGTCCGTGCTGCGCTCTCATAAGAGCGTGGTTTGCTTCATGGCGGGACACGATCATGATGGAGGATATTACATGGATGAGTCTGGTGTTCACCACATCACGCTGGAGGGGGTGATTGAAACACGTCCAGACAGCAATGCCTTCGGGACGGTTTATGTCTATGAGGACCAGATGGTTCTAAAGGGCAACGGAAGGATATCAGACATGGTTCTCAAGTATCCATAAGTGGAAAGCATTTATGAACTGACAGGAGAGAAGATTATTGTCAATGAATGATGGAATGGAAAATAATAAACAAACACCCTTCCGTATGATCCTCTCAATTTCTGCTTACATTTAGTGTTAAATCAGATTTTTATAAACCCTAAGATATGTTCATGTATATCCTATAAGTAACACTATTACCAACAAAATGAACAATTCAAATGAACAACAACAAACCCTTAATAAGGTTAAGTCATCACTGACAAGATGGGATTTTAATGAAAGTTGGCTACCTATGCAGTAGAAACACAAAACCGGGCCATAGCGAAGTAAAAAAAATAAAAAATAAAAAGGTAAGAAGACTACAGCACCCATAATGCATTGGGCTCGATCAGATGATCCGGGAGCTGGATACAAAAATGCGGAAGTAGTACGATCTGTAGTTTTTATACAAAAGTCCTGGAGCTGTCAAAAGTGACGCGTTGTATGTCATCCGACAGAAGTTTGCCGACATATAAACGGGAATATCTTGGTGCAGGTGACACGTAAAAATAATACACATTGTTCGTTTACTTATGCCGATATTGTAACGATATAAAGTTGGTTGAGAATCTGTGAACTTGCCCTTTAATATTAGAAACAAGCGGCAATAAACATGAAACACGCAATGAATACATTACCATTGTATATAGGCTATATGAAGAGGAAATTATATATATTGTTGCTATATAAATATAAAATTATATTTATAAAAGAAGTAGCCTATATACATTTTATTGCATTATACTGTGTGAGTGCATAATTTCAATAATGTCAGTAGTAACGTACAGTAGTATACATTTAGTTTTATATTTATATTCTTGTGGATGAAATCTTAATATCATTATGACTTCTTTTATAAATATAATTTTATATTTATATTGCAACAAAAAAACAAAATAAATAGGGGAATAATAGGAATGTTCAGTAATAAAATATGCAATAATTTGTATTTAATTATATCAAGATTTCCTGTACATTTAAAACTAAATGTATATGTAATTTTAGTATATAAATAACTATATAAAATTACATTGAATTTCATTATATACATACTGAATAAATCTTTACCAATAATAAATAAATGTACCAACAGAAAATAAACCAACAAAAGAAATAGAAAAAAAAAAAAAGAATAGTGGCAATGTGCAATAATAAAATATGCAACGAATAAAACAGATGCTACACTGTATGCAGACATATTTAAAAGTCTACTTTTTCATGTAGCCTAATATTTCATTATTTTGCCTAAATGTACATTTCATTTTGCGACTTTTGGCTGACCCTCGATTCATGAATCCCCCTTGAGCGGGGAGTCCTCGCGCACCTGGCAACCGCAGAGCCACCGTTACTGCTAACCGAAGCTGGCTGTCCTGTCCCGCCTTACGACTGTTTAACCCCCTCGCTTCTAAACGGAACCGAATGGGGTGCGGAAAGCCTGTCGGTTCGCTGTAGTAGTCGCGCGTGTTGAGTGTCCAGCGTGAATCCAGTGTCCGAAGGGTCAATCCGCCTCACTGCAGTGCAGCCGCTGCTGGAGTCAAACTGATCCACAATGGCGACTCCCAGTCCCAGCACCAATACACCAACTAGCGCTGCGGGATCCGCCTTACACACGCAACACTTAACGACAATGAGCAACATGCAGGGTAAGAGACGCAAACACAGCGTGAAGCGGCTAATGAGCCGATATTCAGTGATGCGGCTCGAACGCAGCGAAACGCGTTTAGGCCGCGCACTCCAGTGTTTACAGTGTCACATGAACGCGAAGCTCCATGCTAATGTGTCTCATACGCGTCTGCGTGAGTTCGCACTGCTGGCTTTTGAGCTGAGGCTGTAGGCCTGTGCAGTGGCTCGTGCAGCCTTTCTAGGCATCATATCTATGCTAAATGCGCTGCTCTGATGGCCAAAACTGCTGGATTTATGTACAGCTCACTGAGGTTCTCTACACGACTCTTGCTCTGTAGCACCGCTGTAACAGAGTCAATAATCATACTGATATTTTATAGATAATGGTGATTCTGATTGATGGCTGTTTATAATTTCTATTCTGAGTTGTGTACATTTTGTTGTAAAAAAAAATTTCACTGCACTCTATTCAGTGTTGTTTTAGTATCATTCAAATACTGTTTATAGCTTTTTAATATTTTAAAGTAGATTTTATTTATTTATTATTTTTGCTTTAATGTTAATTTTAGTTAAAGTTTTAGTATTTTGTGTTTGTTATTTTTGTTAGACTTTATTTTTTATATTTTTATTTCAGTTAACATTTTCTACAGTTTTAGTTAACTATAATTAATAATACTGTTATAGTTTTTGTTAATGTTTTTGAATTATATTTTCTGTTTTACATTCATTTTAAAGTTTTATTTTTTTGTTTTGTCATTTTTATTAGATTTTGTTGTGTGTATATATCTATATATATATATATAGTTCATGTTAGTTATTTTAGTACGTCAACTAAGTAAAAATGAGAAATGTTGCATTGGCAACTAGCTGAAACTAAAAGTTTTTAATATTTGAATTTCATTTTGTTTTTATATTTTCTACTCTTGTGTTAATTTTAGTTATAGTTATAATTTTAGTTAATTATAGCATGTATTTGCATTAAGATGATCGTAACGGGTCAGTCTCATACTATCCAGTCTGACTGTGGTCTGATTGTTTGGGTTATTAGTAAATGAATGATTTCTCCTCCTCATTCAGATTCCAGCACATGCTGGAGGTGTCAGAATGAAACCGGTAAAGCAGCTCACATACACTTCACTCTTATTTAGACCATCATCAGTTCAGTTTATACAGTAGCTTGTTTCCACCTCGGAATATAAAGGTCATTGTGACTTTTATCTCACAGTTCTATCGTTGCCTGGGTTGCGTACGTATATGTGGGGCGGAGCTATCAAAATAGGGGCAAGACCCTTTTGGGGTAGGGGCGTGTTTGTTTTGGTGATTTCAAATATCAACATTGGCTACCAGAAATCACTTACTCTGCCTTTAATCCGCGAATCACATGCGTGCCGAACTGTGCAGCCTGATCCGTACGGATCATCTACGATCCGTTGCACCCTTAATATATACTGTATATATACATATATATATTGTTTGCATTATGAAATAAAAAAGAAAATTTTTGAAAATTGAAAAAAATTATATGTCACAGTTTGGACTTTTATCTTAGCACTGCGAAATTATGTTTAAATATGAGTTTATATCTTACAATTGTCTGAATTGTGAGATACAAAGTCAGAATTGCGAGAAAAAGTCAGAATTATGAGGTTAAAAGTCACTATTACCTTTTTAATTATTTTATTCCATGACTTAAATAAGCATCCATAAGTTTATCATCATTTGCATGGATTTTCAACATTTTGTCCCCCCATTTTCTTTAGGATTTCAGATCAATCTGTCTGGAGTAACGCAAAGTAAGCTGGTTTTCTGTGCTGTTATAACGGTTTGCTTGTAGTGTGATTTCTGCTGTAGATGCTGTAGTTTAAGAGCAAAATGAACCACATATGAATCAAATATCTTAATTTAGACAAATAATTTTTAATAATTTAAATAATTTTTATTGAATTAGCTTAATGTGAATTATTAAATTAAATGTAATAATTAAAATTATTATCTTATTAAGATAATAAATTGGTATCTTAAATAATTGAGAAGAAATCATGATTAGTGCTTGCCTTAGCAGAAGATAAATAAACTTCACTTCACCAAGCCACACAGTTTGAGCTGTTTTCTGGAATCATCTCATATTTTGATTCTCAGTTATTTCCATATTCATTTCTTTCTGCATGCTTTCTGTTAAATTAGTTTTTTGTTTTGAAATACAAAACATAAAAAAAGGTCTCCATTACACTTAGCAAAGCAATCTGAACTTTTTCTCTTTTACAGGCAAACGCAAAGCACTTAAGTTAAACTTTGCGAATCCGCCAGTTAAACCGACCGCACGACTCCCCATCACGACAGCTAAGCCTCCGTTCCAGAATCCACACATGTGAGATTTCATTCATTGCTAATGTTTTGTTAAAGGTCACGTGTGTCATTTTTATGTTGAATATGCAGAGAAAACGGTAAGTAATTTGTAAAAACTGGCTCAAACACGGCTGTTTGTATCCTGACACTCCACTCAGCCAATAGCAGGAGTTTGGGGGCGGGACAAACTGTTTTATCAACCAATTACAGATGGGCAGAGTTCGGGAAACCTGTTTGGCAACAGTCATGATTTTTGCAGTTCCGTTTGGTGATGCAGTTTCATGAGTCTGCGCTGTAGTTTCTGTGTGTAAAAGCGTTGACTCGTGCGTTTCAGAGAGCGACTGCGGACGCACAGCATCGAGTCCTCAGGGAAGCTGAAGATTTCTCCAGAGCAACATTGTGACTTCACGGCTGAGGACCTCAAGGACCTGGGGGAGATCGGGAGAGGAGCGTACGGATCCGTTAACAAGATGGTGCACAAACCCAGCGGACAGATCATGGCTGTCAAGGTGATTCACATTATGTGTAGGGCTGGGCAAAAAAAAAAATTTAACAGTAAACCTCTGTTGTGCAGCACTTTGTTTGCCAAAAAATAAAAGGGTTTAATTTTCATTTGATTAGGATAAATTAAATTAATGTTTTATGCCTTCATCTGATTACCAGAAAAATTAAGAACATTTTATAGGGCCCTATTATTGTTTAAAAAAGGACCCATACAAAAAAAAGTATAGGTTTAAAATACAGGCATGTGGCTTAATTTCTTTTGATTAATTCACCATTTGTAAACTGATGTTTACTGTTCATTTTTTAGAAATATCAATAGCATTTGTATTAAAACTATATTCACTGAATGTAATAAAAAAAATCGAGAATCGAATCGAGAGCTTGCAAATTGAAATCGAATCGAATCGGGATATCTGAATCGATACCCAGCCCTAATTATATGTGCTTTATAATCAATTCTCAAAATATCAGAATTATCCAGCAGTAATGACTGGAGTCTGGGAACATTGGAAAATGGAATGGAATAATTGAGACACCTTTGGATTTTTTTTTTCCTCATAAAAAATGATAAAACTGTAGAAATTCTCATAGATACTGAAATAGAGCACAACATTTAGTTCCGGAAATAGAAACTCTATTCATTTTCTCCATAGGGAAAATAAATATAAATTTTTTTTAGCAATAACTGATAGACCTTTAATGTTCTCCAACATAATGTTAATCAATTGTATATCCTTTTGTTTGAACCCATCTGTTCGCATTGTCAGCTTCTGTTTTAAATAATTGTTCAATAGCAGAATTCATGGTGGAAAACTGAATTACCCATAATTCCAGCAA